AACGACTCATTGGGCAAACTAGAGGAGCAGTGCCCGAGCAAGTAGGAGGGCTCTGGAGTAGGGGAACTGTACCTGATGCCTCGCCTCTTCCCCGACAGGTTGAAGTGTCGGGGGGGATAGAACGGCGTGGGAGTAATTTGGCCAGTATCGGCCCAGGATGAAAATAGGTGAACCCAGGACAACACAGATAGGTTTCGAAACTCAGCCGAGAGCCCCAGAGAAACTGAACGGCATTGACTTGGATACTAGGAAACGAAACAGCTGCCTGCAAGCCTAGAAGCGAACCTTGATATACCAAAACATTGCTTAATTCTGACGATGTGGTTACACACACCGTCGGGGCATGGTGAATCGAAATCCAAGCATCGAGCGAGAAGTCATGGAGCAACCCAAACAGTGATGTTTCTTGTGCGATACACCACAAGGGACAGGGCGGCTCAAGATCGCAAGCGGGATATGCCTCCTCTCTCCATGCTGGTGCCAAAGGATTGGGCCAAGCCCCTCTGACTTCGGCCTCACGCGGAACAAAGACAGGAGCGTCGGGTCTCAAGACCTGTGTAGTCGGACTTCCCCCTCCCCACACTATTCCAGCCCATCCCGCCCCATCTAAAGCTTCTCGCCATAGAGAGCCAAGGGCAGGCACCCAGTCATTGTCTTCCGAGGGAGGGGTGTATCTACTCTTAGCACACCCCTCTGCGAAATTCAGACAATGATAGCGCCCACCCCCAGCCTCTTGAAAATTCAGACCAGAATGCTTCAAAGGCTCTGGCTCGCACGAGTTGATCGTGCGCGCAGTCTCAGCTGGAGACTTGCACGACCTAGCAAGATACTAACTCAAAAGCAGCGAAACGATAACCTCTAGCTTTTTTCCACATACACACGTGCAAGCAAGCTCGAGGAAAAAATCATACTCCTTAGGGGTTCCCCATGCCCAAGAAACTCCTGAGAAATCAAGACTGGATCCCACGTGGTTACCCGACATATTCTCAACAGCCTGACAAGTGACATGATCATTGCTAGCAACGTCAAGGGAAACTAAACTGTGGCAGGATGATGCCCTGCTCTCCGAACTGGATGAGTCCACTGGGGTTTCAATACTGCAAGCAACATGTCTGAGTATGGAACGCCTTGGAGTGGCATGGGGGGGGGGGAAGAAATTACTGGTGGTCCCTCATCTGTTCGGAAAAATCTAACTTGCGCTGCGCCCAACCTCACGCGGAGGTCCTTGCCTCTTTGCGCGGCGGACTGGCCGTCTCGGTGTCTAAGGGCGTCTCCTGCGTGGCCTGGCTCACGAGGTTGACAACGCCCATCGCGTCGGTGAGACCACTCGGCGAGCCCTCTGGTGTTGCTGGAACTGGGCGCTCGACCGCCCCCGCTGCGGCCTCCCTCTCGTTCCTCTTGCGAGTCTGCTCGGCGATTTGTTCTGTCGTATATGAAGCTCCCATAGGTGTCGAGCTTGCCGTCGTACTGCCATCCGTTACCGATGTCTCCGGCGCTGGCATATGGGGATCCTCCATCTCCGTGTGATGAAACGGCTGAGTCGGTGAGATCTGTGACATGTAAGGTATCTCGCCATCTCCATCTTGTCCGAAGTTGGGCAGTGTCGCCTTGATCGAGGGCTCCACTGGCGTAGTTGCGACTGGTGTTGGACATCCTCCCACTGGTGTCGGCGTTGCTCTCAGCGGCCCTGGACTTTTCGCCGCCCTGGATTTGCGCGGCGGCGTCTTGAATTGTACTCCCTCGGGGGCTGGCCCTGCCGTCGCCGCCGCAGGTCCCCCAGCAGGAAAAACTCCCGTCGATCCTCCTGCCACTGTCGCATTGGCGACACTGGCCGCCGTAGCCTGCTGCATCACGAAAGTCCCAAGACTGTTGAGCACCGACTCCGTGTGCTTCTGCTTTGCCATGAGGTTGGACAGAATCTGCATCATGTCTTCGAGCTGTGATCCGAGCGGCGGTGGCTCAGCCTTGGGCGGTCCTGGGACTGTCGGTTCTGGTGCTGCGCCTGCTGGATGCGCGCGAACCTCGCCACGCGGCGTGTGGATCTTCTGGGGGGCGGGACGCTCAGCAGCGACCGAAGCCGCTGCACATGCCCCGCCTCCGCCTCCACCGCCACGATCGTCCGTATACGTATCCGCCATCTCGGTGTCCGAATCCTCAAGCTCCTCAAGCTCCTCGATGCTGGTTTTGATGTGCTGCAACTCTACTTGGCACTGCTGCATGTCCAGTTGTGTAGATCTGAGCCTTCCCTCCAGCACTTTCATTCTGTCCGTGGTAAAATTCTTTCTCTGGCGCAACTCATGGAGCTGCCTGGTGACTGGCTCCATCATGCTTAGCATATATTTCAGAACAGAAATCTCGTTGACCGTGTCAAGGCAATCTTTCCCGACGTTTCGGCCAGCTATGCCCAGAGTGGCAAGACCCTGCAGCTTCTGCCTCACTGATGCCTTGAACTTCTTGAGTCCCTCAATCTCCATAGGAGCAGGCTCAAAGAACGGTGAACTCTCTGCTTCTGACTTGCAAGCTGGCATGATGGATGCTAGATACTTCTTCACAGCTTTTTTATTGTCATGATCATTGGTCCCAGGTCCCCTCGGCCTTGATGGTGCTCTGGACTTGACCTCACGTGCCTGCACCCGACCTGAACCCATACCACCATAATGTGCTCCACCAGGCAATACTGAACCATGATGCGCCCAATTATGCTGTTGTTGGTTCTGTCCATATGTCTGTCCACACAAGCAACGCCAGTGATGCCCTTTTACGTACCGTCCACACTGCATACAATCCCATTGCACTCCTGGTCCTGAGCTACGTGTCCCTCCTTTGCCCGTCATATTTTGTGCAGAATGATGTGATGCTAAGATATCTCTGGCTCGCAATGCACGTAGTAGTAGTCTGCAAGCTCCCCTTTGTGCGCGTAGGCGTCGATGCCAACTCTTCTCTTTTCCCGTGTTGAGTCTGCTTTCTGGCAAAATGCACGGCTTAGATCACAACAGAAAGAGAAATGAAACTGTTAAGCAACGTATAAGGTGAGTCCGAGTGGTTCTGTATGAAGAACGCTCTGGCTCTCTCCAGAGTGCCAGAAAGGTCTCGGTCCCAAACCTCCTCCTCCTCCTCCTCCTCCTCCTCCTCTTCTACATCCCTCGTCCTCCCTTCTCCTCATCTTGCTCTTGCCTCCTCCGTCTCCCTTATCCCTTCTCGTTTCTCCTCCTCCTCCTCCTCCTCCTCCTCCTCCTCCTCCTCCTCCTCTTCGTACTCCCTCCTCTTCACTCGTCCTCCCTCCTCCTCCCTCTCCTCCTCCTCCTCCTCCTCCTCCTCCTCCCTCCTCCTCCTCCTCCTCCTCTCCTCCTCCTCCTCCTCCCTCTCCTCCTCGTCCTCTCCTCCTCCATTCCTTCTGCTTATGAATAACTTCTCACTTTCGCACCCCGAGGCAAGTTTTAAGGGCGGGCCAGGTGTTTCGCCTGAGATTTCCTCATCCCGTATGGCCCGGAAGCTTCAAACTTAGTAACAGGTTCAGAGATGGAGGGCAACCTCTTGTCAACATGTGCTTTTCGCTTTAGCGCAGCGCACATGCGTGTTCAACAATGCGCAAGAGCTTCACGAATTGAGGGTGGTGCCTTTTCGAATTGTGGTTCTCGCTTGAGCGCACATTCGTTTGTTGTTTCAATGTTACAGAAAAAGTGAGAGCTTCACGGATTCCCGCGATCAACGTACCAGACATCTGCGTGTTGGAAGGATTCAGGCTTATGAGGTTTGATTTTCGGCGTTGAAGTCCGAGGAATGGTGTTTTGGCACGATTCAGGCTCGTCACGTTGCAACAGTCAAGTTGATTCGTGGCGTTGGAATCCCGATAGCAATGTTTTGGCATGCTTCAGGGTTTTAAGCGATTTTCTTCTAACAAGGCAGTCAGTTCCGTTTGTGGAAATGAACCGCTTTGGTGGCATAAGAAGTGGGAGGTTGGAGGAAGGGTTTATTCCAACATTGTTGATGGCATTTGGGTTTACACTGATCCACCTCCTCCTCCTCCTCCTCCTCCTCCTCCTCCTCCTCCTCCTCCTCCTCCTCCTCCTCCTCCTCCTCTTGCTGCTGGCTCCTCCGTCTCC